ATAATAATAATAATAATAATAATAATAATAATAATAATAATAATAATAATATATAGTAGTGGTTTCAGCGTTTATTAGGCTGTAGGCCTGTAACCGATTCTTAACAATGCAGAACATCCACAGCTTTTTGCGGGCTTCAACTCGCAACTCAGTGCTTCAAATTTTCTTTGCTTAACCGCCCGGCCTCCTCGCCGATTCTGACCAGAAACTGGCGCACAGAGCTGGGATCGAACCCGCACCTCTCTGCTCCAATCATGGTACTCTGAACTTTAACCACTGGCATTATCCGAAAAAAGTTGTTTTGGAAGAAATGAGTGCCAGGAAATTTCTGACAGGACGAAATTGCTCACAGTATTTCTATTAGTTCTTGCGGCATGAGCCTATATGAAAAGGATTATAATTAGAAGTGACAAGTGAGATATGATAGATTGTCTTTTAATAGTTGTCACTATTAGATTGTCTTTTAATTGTCGTCACTATATTTAAATAGTCGTCACTCACTTGCTTCAATTGTGTAGTTAGTGAAATTCAGGGTGAGAAATGTCCGACTGTTTTCCCCCTTTCCTGGCTCGACCGGATGGTTGAGCCAGTGCTCTTCATCGAAGTATTCTACCCAGTCACCGTCATGGGGAACCTTAACCATCACCGAGATGACGAGAAAAGCGCTCATTGACGTAGACGAGTCATTTGCCAAATTAACTGGATAGCAGCGAATTGTGCTGGACGTTCCAGATGGTCCAGATGTTCCCGGCGGTCCAGGCGCATCTGTTGAAGAATCTTGTGCACCTGTTAAGAAAGTAATGGACTGTGTTGAATATATTCATCATCGTTCAAGTTCTTGCGTAATCAAGAGAACTTCATTAAAACTCACACAATTATGGATATTTATATAAAATTTATATTCTTCACGAAATAATTTTCACGTAACGAGTCGTAGTCACGTATGAGCGCATAGATTACTTCTGTTTGACCCGTTAAAGTAAAGCTGTGTTATTTTCAAATGGAAACAAAGTCAAAATGAAATAAATTGTAGAGTATTTACGTAAGAATATAATTTTGTTAAGTATATATACCTGGCGCCGGAGAACCAGCAGCAGAGATGCAGACCAGCGACGCCAGCAACACAAGTCGCAGGCAGGCGGTGGTCGGGTTCTGCATCGTGGCAGGGGCGTGACACGAGCGCTGCTAGGTCTACGTAAGATAGGGTCTACTGGGTGTGCTAGTTCAGCGTCTACTGGGCCCGGTTCGGCTGGGTCTGGGTCAAGAGAGTTCGGGTCTGCTGGATCAGGGTCAGCTGAGCCTGGTTCGGTTGGGTGTGGGTCAAGAGAGTTCGGGTCTGCTGGGTCTGGGTTTACTGGGTCCGGTTCTGCTGGTTCCGGGTCAACTGAACCCGGTTCTGCTGATTCCGGGTCAACTGAGCCCGGGTCTGCTGGGTCTAGGTCTACTGGGCCCTCGTCTGCTGGGACTCGGCCGACTGGGCCAGTGTCGACGGGGCCTGGGTCTGCTTCATCACGCGCAATGGTGGATCGCTGGCTGACGGAAATAATAATAATTTTGACTGGGGAATTTAAGTCAACGAGAAACAAAAATCCAGCAGCAGGGAAACAAATTATTGGCCACGCAAAGTGGTCATATCCCACTGAACAATCGATCATTCCCCACTGATCAAGCAGTCATTCCCCACTGATCAAGCAGTCATTCCCCACTGATAAAACAGTCATTCCTCACTGATAAAGGCAGTCATTTCCCACCAATAAAGCCAAAAGTCCCACTGATTATAACTTAGTTTTTAATTGAAGAACGCGGAGGGTGCGTGCAGACAATTATTAGTTCCATATTTTAGATTAATTAAAAAGATGCCGCTCCCTAATATTTTTCATAATTTCTTTGAAATGTTACTGTAATTCATTGACGCCATGATCGGTTAAAAATCATTGCATTACTGAAAATCATTGCTTTACTGCGTTACTGAAAAAGGAACCATACCGTCTGCAGGAACCATACCGTCTGCAGGAACCATACCGTCTGCAGGAACCAACGCAATTAATAAGATTTTGACAGTAGACGGTATGACTATGACTGTACGTTGCTTTTCGTACTTTTTCGAAATAGCTTCATATTTTTACTCTAATATTTGAAAGACCATTCTTTGTCTGGACTTTTATGTGTGAAATGCATGAATACGTTACGAATAAATTATTTATCTAGGTACATAATGAATAACCTCCAATTTTCATTAGAATTTGTAACTCACGATTACATAAAGCATAGTGCAAAGCGGTAATTCGTAATGCTTTCTATCGATTTGCAAATTGGTAAATTCATGAGGGTTAGTAGCATGTGCAGTCTGCGTGTGTCTGCTGCCCACAAATCGTGGGTTCCTGCGCAGTCTACGTGTGTCTGCTGCCCACTAACCGTGGGTTCCTCCGCAGTCTGCGTGTGTCTGCTGCCCACTAACCGTGGGTTCCTGCGCAGTCTACGTGTGTCTGCTGCCCACTAACCGTGGGTTCCTGCGCAGTCTACGNGTGTGTCTGCTGCCCACTAACCGTGGGTTCCTGCGCAGTCTGCGTGTGTCTGCTGCCCACTAACCGTGGGTTCCTGCGCAGTCTGCGTGTGTCTGCTTTATTGTAATTTTGTGTTGTATTTGTCGCTGTCGTGCGCCTGAACCTAGGGTTTGTAAACGTCGTGTGGCCACCGAAACTTCAAAAGGACAAAAATTTAGTGATGTTCCAAGACGTGCAACAAGGATAATTCCAGGCTTGAAGAGCAAGTCTTATGGAGAAATATTAAAGATCATGAAGCTTCCAAGCCTCAGTTATCGACGTCTGCGTGGAGACCTCATTGAAGTATACAAGTATCCAGAGGTGGGCAGTAGCGCGCTGCATGTAGCGGCCGCTACATTTTCAGTAGCGGGAGCGGTAGCGGCGCTACATTTAAGGCAATGTAACGGTAGCGGTAGCGCCCGCTGCTACATATTTAAGTAGCGATACGAGCTATTGCCGCTACAGCGCTACCGCTACATTCACAGATAAAGCCTTTAGATTTTACTTAATAGTATTAAATATTATTTATAAACCAGCATGATACATACATAATATAAATTACAGAATAAAACTGTACGAAAGATTTCAGTGTAATGTTGTCAACCTCGGCCTGTTACTAGTGTCAACAAGTTAGTTGTTACTTGTTAAGTTGTTACCAGTTACCACTTACAGGTATTTTTTCATGTTTCAGTTTGCTTACAGTTATTTTTACGTTTCACCTTCCCTACATGGATGTCTACTTCAATCAACCAATCCAAACTCTAGATTCGGGCGCACGACAGCAACAAACAACTGCTTCATCGCTTCTGCATCTAGGAACTCGTATGAGCGTCTGATTAATCCAAGAAGTTTGTTGGATGTGTTAGCTTGCGTTTCATCATGCTCAGAAAATTTTAGGTTTTTGTCGACATAAACTCCGAGATTCCATATTTTTTTCCCTCTGCTTGGTCTAAAAAAATAACCGTTACTGACTGCACAATTTTTTTTCTTGATTTCTCATAGTGTTTCTTAAAGCCAGAAAGTTGCCATTTGAAGTGACTTTAGTTTTGTGTCATGTCTGTGATCTGCTTTTTTTCTACAAAGTTAAACAACTGAATGAACATTCTCCGAGGCCGGTGATTCCATAATTTTTGCCAGGGGTTGTATAAATCACTTGTACCTGCCACCAGAAATTGCATTTCGTAGTTTTTAGGGAGAACTCTTACCCACACAGCTATGAAAATTTTTATTTGTGCACTGGTAATTAATACAATGATATAACAGACTAACAGTGCTCTCGTCTAGGATAAAGGAAGTTTTTGTATACTCGCTGGTATTGATTACACCCACCCTTGAAATGAGTTGAATGAAAAAGATACGTTTAAGAGGGGGTGTTAGAATAAACGTGTCATGCATTTGTAACATTCACTGCGAACTGTCGGTTTCTACCGTAACTTTTATGTTCCTTGCCATAGTTCACTGTAAGAGGAAGCACCTGCTTCTCCCATCGCTCTCTAGCTTCTTGTCTTCAGCTTGAGCAGGTTCTAGCCGCTATTGCGGTGTTATAGTAATTCTCAGCAGAAGAAGACTGAGGTTTCATTCAACCCCACAACCGTGATACTACCATGCCATCGAACAGTGAACTTCTAACACTATTTAGTCATCATCAAACTATTTAGTCATAAACATCACTATCGCAGCCACCTTCGGGGGAAATGCCACCTTAACAGAATTATGGGATCACTGGTCCACATAACACGACAAACGCCGTCATAACTCTGAGTGTTTACCCCCTTCCTTTCGGATTTATTCTCCATATACTAGTTTATAATATGACCGTGTCAGCGTCGATTAGGCCTTTAGACCTGTCGCTAATTCTTAACATCGAAGAATATTCACAGCTTGTTATGGTGTCTAACACTCAACTCACTGCTCTAATTTTGTGATATAACAAATTTGTGATCCATAATCGTGTCATCTAAAAATTACGAAGACGTTGATCGTTAAATTCCTTGGTATAGCTATCACTTAGGAATTAATATGACAAGACATTCAGTGCCAAAAAGTTGCATAGGCAAAAACGCTTTGTGAACAGAAATATGCACTATTTCTATTTAGGATAATATTTCGTTACAAATCTTACGTATTCTGTTTGACGTGCTGAAGTTGAAATAAATTGCTGAAATAGTATTAACAGTTATACAGGTATCTCATGTACGAGATGACTCAATAATGGCAAATCTGCTTAGAGTAAAGAAATGATGAAGGAACCATCCAGCCGATCTGAGGGCCAACTACTTTCACATTGTAATAGTAACAGTACTCATAAAATCGGCATTAACTTTGATTAAAATATCATACCTGACTTAGATTATAAACATCGCCAAATTTTTTACAGCCCATTACGGCTTCTGAAAATGCGACTCCCTAGCTGCTCCAATTTTGCTGTGCTTAACCGCCCAGGCATCTCCCCGATTTTGACCAGAACTGTCGCTGGTAGCTGGTATCGAACCCAAATCTCACTGCTCCAATTCATCTTGGAACTCTGAACTCCAGCCACTGGGCAACCCATCGTGTCAAGACTTTAAGTTTGTCTCTAACAACACTCACACTCAAGTACGAGTACTTGAATAACAGATTTCATCTGTCCATGTCGAAGAATCAAATCGTGCGGGAACTTAAATTGCATTGACAACTGAGAGAATGTAGAAGATCATGAAAATGCAAAATATGATGCTAAGAGAACCGAAAAGTATGTAGTTCAGAACTTTAACCTTTTTTATTATAGTTTTTTCATCGTAACATTCCACATTGAGTTGCTTCTTGGCATCCAGTTTGTGATGGTAATAATTCAGGAAGGTGTTTGCAAGAACAATAAGGAAACTGAAGGAAATGAGCGCAGCATACCACACGTCTAGAAGCTTGAGATACGAAGTTTGCACCGAAGAGGAGTTGGCTTGGGTAAAGAGGGCAGTCAAAACTAGCAGGGACGTCAGGGATACCATCACACGCTCGTTGAAATCTTCGACTCGGAATGCAGCGGTCGAGAAAGAAATGAGCAAGATGAGGAAGCTGGTTAGGTAGCTGTTGAGAACGTGGTATCCATACAGGCTCTTTAGTTCGATCATGAGTGATACCGTCTGGTGAGTGATACCGACCTCTCTTCGCCATATGCGAGACACCCAGAACTCCTGCACGTCACGACGTCCAGAGTAGTAGACATCGTCATCATGTCCAGAGTCGTCATCATGTCCAGAGTAATATCCATGACGACGTTCGTAAATTATTTCTTGGGATCCAGATGGTTTCACAAAAATATTGAGTTCACATGTCTGGTCTCCAAATGGATATTTTCGAAGATCAAAGCGGCACGGAACTGTGAAGCGTCCAACTAGATAGTAGATCAACCTTAGTGATGACCCACTTATGAAGCGACCTGAAAACAAAGAGTTTCGTTATGTAAGTACGTATGGAACTTTCGATAAATATTTCATGAAAATTTACATTGCCAATTGATTCTTATCTCTATTTGAAACACACAATATGCATACCCCATTTCATGGACGGTATGCAATCACCCACCCCCATACCGTCAATGCTAATCACATCCAAACGTCAACAATCAGTCACCGCATACCACCAACGCCAATCACTAGGCCTACAGGACATGAATTTCAATCAATAGCCACAAATTTTTAAAATGCACATAATTTACCCCATTTGTTCTCAATGTCAGTCCTAATTCCTTATGATGTCAACACCAATCAAGTCTCAAATGACGTCAATACCTATCACCAGTTCCCAAATGTTGTCATTGAACTCGAACTCAAATTGTTGCCAGGTTCGTGTTTCCGATCCGCTTCTGCAAATTCAGTCTGTAAACCTTAA